TCCTTGGTTTCGACTTCCTCACCTTCCACAAGCTCGGCGTCAAACCAAGTCATCTATGCCTCATTCATGAGCCTACAGCACGCAAGATCCAGGGTTCTCGTGCCAGACACACGGACGCTATCACCTGTCTTGCGCCTTCCAACGAGTTCTCCTCCCTGCTCGACGAATTCAAGGAGCTTTTCTCACCCCGAGTCTCCCTACCCCCACCACCTACGTCGGGAATTTTCCACCACATCGAAACCAAAGGACCACCAGTCTTTTCACGCCCTCGCCGCCTGCGCCCTGAGCTCCTGTACACAGCCAAAGTAGAATTCAACAAACTACTGCAAGACGGCATCATTCGCCCTTCAAGGAGTCCCTGGGCATCGCCTCTTCACATGGTTCCTAAGCGAACACCCGGCGAGTGGAGGGTGTGTGGCGACTACAGAGCCCTGAATCTCGTCACCAAACCTGACAGGTACCCTATTCCGCATGTCCAGGACTTTCACCACAAACTTCATGGCAAGACTATCTTCTCGAAGATCGACTTGGAGCGTGCCTTCCACCAGATTCCAGTAGCACCGGCAGATACCCAGAAGACAGCCATCACCACTCCGTTCGGACTCTTCGAGTACACTTTCATGAGTTTTGGCTTACGCAATGCAGCACAGACTTTCCAGAGGTTCATGGACCATATGCTTCGCGACCTCGATTTTGTCACCGTCTACATTGACGACATCCTCGTCGCATCTTCGACGCCTGCCGAGCACCGCCACCACCTACAACTCCTTCTCCAACGCCTGCAGAACAACAACATGAAAGTTCATCCTGCTAAGTGCGTCTTTGGAACCTCGGCCATCGATTTCCTCGGTCACAGAGTCTCGCCCAGTGGCATACAACCCCTACCACAGAAGATAACCGCGATTAGGGAGTTCCCCAAACCTGAAACGGCGAAGAAACTCCGAGAGTTCCTGGGTTTAGTCAACTACTACCACCGCTTCATTGACAAAGCTGCCACCGTCCTAGCCCCCCTACACGACCTTCTCAAGGGACGCCCAAAGAAGTCTCACAAGTCTCTCATGTGGACTCAAGAGGCTACTACGGCATTCACCACTATCAAACAGCACATCACACGCCTCACCCTCCTGGCCCACCCCGCACCTAACGCCCGGACCACTCTCACAACAGACGCTTCTTCTACTGCAGTGGGCGCCGTCTTACAGCAGGAGATCAACGGAATTTTCATGCCCGTTGCTTTCTTCTCACAACGGCTTCAACCACCACACCTCAAGTACAGCGCTTTTGATCGAGAACTCCTGGCCATATACTTGGCTGTCAGACATTTCCAACACTTCCTCGAGGCCCGTCAGTTCACCATCTTCACTGATCACAAGCCCCTCGTCCACGCCTTCGCTTCAGTTTCCCAGTCACATACACCTCGTGTCCTGCGCCACTTGGCTTACATCTCGGAGTTCTCCAGCGACATCCAACACATTAAAGGCAGCCACAACGAGATCGCCGACGCCCTCTCTCGTTGTATATCCACCATTCTTCCCTCATCTCCACCCATTGATTATGGGCAGCTAGCCGCGGCTCAAGAGAAAGACGAAGACCTGGCAGCATACAAGACATCCCCCTCAGGCCTCATACTCCAAGAACTCCCTGTTCCTGGCACAAAGATAAAATTGTGGTGCGATGTATCCTGTGGACAGCCTAGACCGTTCGTGCCTCACGTCCACCGCCGCGCTGTTTTCGACCGCATCCATGGTCTCAGCCACCCGGGTGTGCGGGCCTCCCAGCGCCTCCTCACGCAACGTGTCGTCTGGCCCGGCATCAAGTCTGATACTAAGAAATGGGCTGCCCAGTGCCTGGCCTGCCAGTCCTCCAAAATACATCGTCACATACGGGCCCCCTTACAAGCCTTTCCTATTCCCAAAGGACGTTTTCAAGTAGTACACCTCGACATCGTGGGACCTCTACCATCATCCTACGGTAGCACCTACATCTTCACCTGCATCGACCGTTTCACCAGGTGGACAGAAGCAATTCCCATGCCCAACGCTACAGCAGAGACTACTGTCCGCGCCTTCATGTCCGGTTGGGTTTCCCGTTTTGGCCCCCCCGCAACCGTAATCACTGACCGAGGAGTACAGTTTGAGTCACAACTCTGGCAGCACCTCCTACAGTTCCTCGGCACGTCTAGACAACGCACTACAGCATACCACCCTCAAGCCAACGGCATGGTAGAACGTTTTCACCGGCAGCTGAAGGACGCACTCAAGGCACAGCACGACCCTTACAGCTGGACTGATGCGCTTCCCTTAGTGCTCCTCGGCATCCGTGCGTCACACAAGGAGGATATGGACTGTAGCCCAGCAGATCTGACACTAGGCGAGCCCCTTCGGCTACCCGGGGATTTCTCACTCCCTCCTGATCCCAACCAAACCACTCCAGCCGTTCGTCACGACTTACTCCAAAAGCTACGACAAGCAGTTTCTGCATTCAGAGCTACTGCTCCACGCCAGCCTACTCGGCGCCCTGAACACATCCCTCCTGCACTACTCACAGCCGAGTATGTTTTCGTCAGGCATGATGCTCACCGCAACCCATTACAACGCCCCTACGATGGACCCTTCCAGGTGGTTACCCGTTCTGCAAAGTTCCTGACAATTATCCGGAATGGCAGACATGACACCGTCAGCATAGACAGAGTCAAACCGGCCGCCTTACCCGTCGGGCCCCCAGCCCAGCAGCACCATCAACAAACTACGCCTGCACCAGTCCACCCGCAGTTACCACCGGCAGCAACACCACGCCCACGACATTTCTGGGCACCCTCTTTTCACCCTCATGTACAACCTGCTCCTGTCATAGAACCTGAACCTGTAATAAACCTCCCTCCTATCATAGAACCTGCTCCTGTCATAGACCCTCCTCCTGTCATAGAACCTGAACCTGTAATAGGCCTCCCTTCTATCATAGAACCTGCTCCTGCCATGGACCCTCCTCCTGACGCAGCCCCTGCAGCAGCAGGAGCACAACAACCATTGCTTGTACAACCTCCTCTAATCCCAAACCCTCTTTCTCCTCCTAATTCTCCCACAGGTTTTGTGTCACTGGACGGAGTTGTTACACGTAGCGGTCGAGTCGTACATACAGTACACCTGCCCGGTATGTGTTATGTGTGGGACACAACCCGGACAACATCCAGCCTCCCGCCGCGCCGGGAGGGGAGGGGGAGTATTGTAGTGGACGTCTCCCCTACAACTGCTTACAACTGCATAGCCACAGCCACCACCTGTTACGGCATTCCGACGCGCTGGCGTCTCCTAGCAACCAAGCGAGAGCTGAAACCAGATGTTACCGTTGCTTAGCAACGAAACTAGTCACCGGCAACTTTCTGGGTTTTCCCAACATGATTCATAGAGGACTGGCGGCTGCTGCTGGGTATATAAGCTCTGTCTCTCCATTGAGATTCTTTCTGCCCATCTTCCTGAACAAGCAACACCTCCTCCAGCAAGCTCCACGCTGTTAACATTTATTTCAACCAGGAGGCCAGCAACAGGCAACATCTTCTCTAACGAAGCTCCTGCACATCTACCTCCTTCAACAAGCTACTCACCGCACGTCTCTACCAAGCAGCCCCTCACCACACAGCACCTCCAGCACCAGACTGTCTATCATATAACTTATATATTATACAAGAAAACCACATTAGAGTTTCCTTCCATCCTGAGTGCTAGACAACATTAATATCTCGATACCCCTACAAGTGCGTAACAGAGACGTGACCGATCGCCCAAGCGGCTAACGAGCCAATCAGTGGTGAAGAGGATAAAAATAAAAGTAAATAAAGAACCAACAGTAAAGGATTCACCAAAAGTCGATGTATAACGGCATGTAGATGCTTTTGACAAAGGCTCTGCAGTGAAAGTCCGATGAAGGCACTGAACTTAAGGCGGATCCAGCGGGGGATCCCCCTTTTCATCAGAAAACTCCAATACTTTTCTTTATTGCAGTATTGTACTCAGGCATTGTTGTATAGTATAAATTAATTACTATTGACCTCAGAACATCCCCTAATATCAAGTGCACGTGGCTTCAAATGGCCTCAAAATGCCCATGATGGGCTCGCTTTGGAGGCCATGTTTCCCCACCCAAAACTTCTTGGACCCTCCCCCTTTTGATATTCGTGGATCCACCCCCCTGGTAGATTGACGTCACGGTCTACCGGCTACGTCATCGAATTTCATTTTTTTACCGTCTAGCAGACGAATTTCCGTCAAACGGCAGCATTGCCGACCGCCCAAGCGGCTAACAGCTCATCATTGGCGAAGAGGATAAAAGACGAAAGAAAAAGTGAAGTAATATGAGTAATTTTACTGAATGAATATCTACTGTGTCTAACGAGCCGATCAGTGGCCAAGAGGGTAAAGGTATCTGCAATTAGACAGAGATATGTCACTCAATTTACATTTCACGCCAATAATTTTCCTTTGCCAGGCAAAAAAAATTCTTAGAATCATTCAAAGGCAAATTGTACTATTTAAGTTGTAATAAGAGAAATTTTAATTTATTTTATATAACTGGGAATAATAATAATAATAATAATAATAATAATAATAATAATAATAATAACAATAATAATAATAATAATAATAATAATAATAATAATAATAATAATGTGTTCGCGGTCGCTCTATAAACACGTACAGAGTAGGACAGAATCATATATGCAGTGTGATGAGAAAATATTATACATATAATTTTATTAATCTAATATTTATCTATGAAATACAATACAAAGTCAAAATACAGGTATTAGTAATTAATTATAAGTGTGTTTTATCAAACTCATTTTCTTTGTGATAAATTATCAATTTTCTAATAAATAATAGTCATTATCGTAACACCCTGTAGACGTCGACTGATTAGTTTAGGTATTTGTGATTTATTATTATAGTGTTACTTTAAGCTGTAAAATTTATATATATACTCTAACGGGTCTATCTATAGCTTGAAAGGTTCATTGTCCAAGAACAATCTTTCCTTATCTTGGTAGAGTGAAATAACAGGTGTGTCAGTGATAGCATAGCATCACACATCACGGTGATTGCCCCAAGCTGCAGTGTAATCTGAGTGCAGACGCATTGTGCTGTGCTTGACTGCTTGTGTGGGTTTACCGTCACCATGAGTGTTAAACATCTTAGTACAGGTAACTGTTATGGTCTGAATCTGGTAACGATGGATGGTGTTTATAGATTATAATTCGGCTAACGAGCTGATCAGTGGTGAAGAGGATTAATGTCCCTTGTAAATAACATTGATTATGTGTTAAAGGAATATCCTTCCTTCCTTAGGCTTTAGTAATCCCCATTATAATATTTATCCTGTATATACTTGTCACACCTGCCAGATGCTTCTGGTGTCATTGTACAGGGGTACCTAGTGACAGCACTAGGATCCCGCTTCCTCTATCAAGGAATAAACAATTGAAATTGAAATTGAATTAATGTCCCACTGCCCTTTTAGGAAATCAAGGCCAGATCCCGACAGGGTAGTCTGGAGGGGCACAGTTGGATCATCAAGTGTTCATATGATATACATAAACATCTAATTAAAAGTAATTAAAACATTTTGTTTAATAGGATAGGATACTTGGTAATCATGGAGCAGATGGCCAACAACAGAATGAGTTCTTCGATTACATTATTTTTTCCACAGGGTTTTTTGGATGAAAGTAATAAAAATGATACGACAACTTTTATTTTAATTATAAGTATTTATTTTTTATTGTTGTAGTGTTCTCTATCTATGATCATAAATTACTTGTAGTAGGCAGGTTATGAAGGATGAGGGAAATTGCGGGGTAAAATACGGTAAAAACAAAATTTATTATATGACACTATAATGATGTCTCTCTATGCTTTGTACAGGTAGAAATTAATTATTTACTGTAAATATTAGGCCAAAAATTCTGTCCTTGGCTCTTTGTTTCCGTTCAACAACTGAGCCACTCGGTCCGAGCATACTCTCACATACATTAAAACAAATATACACCATGCAGCTTCAAGAAGGTTGCTTTCATTGGTACAGCTATCAAAGTTTAATATGCCGGGGGCTGAGAAGTTAAGTAAGGTTAGGTAAGCTTCTTTGGTTGGTTAGGTCAAGTTCTATGAGGTTCTGTTCATTGATGTATGTTTTGTTTTTTACTTGCTATATCCAAAGAACATCTGTAAAAAAAAAATAATGAAACTGAACATTGTGTTCTGGTGTTAGCCATTTGCTCCAGGATTACCTAATACTTTAATAATTCAGAAAACAATGCACTTTGATTTACTGTGTTAAATTTTGTTGTTTGGAGTAGCTATTTTAATGATGAGTTTGCAGTACAGGGGGTCCCCGGATTATGAATGGGTTCCGTTCCTAAAGACGTTCTTAAGTCGGATTTGTACATAAGTCCAAAACAGCTTGTCAGTTATTGCTGTGACCAGTAATTTAGCCTATCAGGCAATTATGCCATAGCCACTGCCTTTTTTTTTTTTATGCAGTCTTATCTCTCAAAAGTTTTAAAATGTTGTGAGAATAGTGTAATTACTAACCTTGTTATGCACTTAAAGACGTTCATTCTTGAAGCGCAGTAATAACATTATAACAACAATTTTCTTCGAAAAGAATGGTCCTGTATGTATTCCTTAGCTATCAGTAAAAGACCAATACTGAAATTTAATGCGGTAAATGTAACCAACACGGCAAAACTAGGTTAGTTACCAAATTTAACACAATCAAGTAAATGCAATAGTCTTTATATAGGTTTAGTTTACATAGCTAACATGAAGAAATCATACTGGCTGACACTTTTATTATCCAAAATATCTACTAATGAGGTCAAGCAAAGCTAGTGATAAATTTATTTATGCCTATCTCGACAAAACTCAGCACTGCACTTCACATACATATTTGGGGTGATTCCAAATATGTTTACATTTGTTTTCTGAATAATCCACACCAGTTTTTGCAACAAGAAATAGCACTTAATAGATATACTGTATCAGTAAAATTATAGTACAGTGGTCCCTCGGTTAACGAACTGCCTCCCATAAGATTCTTAAATTCGGTTAACGAATTTCTTACGAACCGACCTCAACATGTTTTCGCTTGCACTGGCCGGTCAACCAGCTTTAGTATTAGTCCGCCAATACATTAATCGGTTCTAGGGCTTAAATTCCTTACTATTTTAGTTAATATCAAGAAGTTTATACTATTCAATAATTTTAAAAGTTTAATATTCAATTTTTTAGTCATTTTAACAATTATTGAACATAATTGAAGGTAAAGAAACTAGTTTCTGGCGTGCCATCCAGCCTGTTAACACACCAGACAGGCGTTAGTCTCTCTCTGTTTTCAGTGGAGGTAACATCTTGCTTGAGACTCTCTTCAACTAAACGCTTTTTTTCTGTGTTTCCAAGCAAATTATTGGTCATTTTAAAATATATTTTACATATTGACAATATATAATGCAGTGCAGTGTTGATTTAAAGAAAATAATCTTGAAATACACCAAGAGAACTAAAATTTTATGGGTGAAATGGTGCCATGGGGTGACTTCTCTTCCACCCCAATGCCTTCTCTTCTTCCTTCTCCTCCACCCCCATTCTAATTCCCATCATCATCATCATCATCATCATCCAGGAGCCTTCTACATACACACCTCAAAGTAAGTGAACTTTTCTACCATTTTTGTTGAATATAGGCAATTTTCGGTGAGCTGGAACCAATTACCCAAAAACCCATTGAAACAATGGTTTCGGTTAACGAATTTTTCGGTTAACGAACAACCTGCTGGAACAGATTGTGTTCGTTAACCGAGGGACCACTGTACTGTAAATGGCATAAATTACTGTACTGTACTGTGTACAGGTACATGTACTTTATTTACCAGTACAGGCAGTTCCTGACTGATAACATGGATACATTCCTAGACCCTGATGGTAAGTTGATTTGTTTGCAAGTCAGAACAGTGTTAATTCCATAGATTAGGTTAAGTTAAAGCACAACCCTGCCCATACAAAACAACAATAATATCCCATACATAACACAAAATGAAAATACAGTAAGTAAAGTTATATTAAATAATACAGAATAATGAAAATAATGTAAAAAGATTGCATTAAACTGTGCCTGACCAAATATTTAAGCGTTTCTTCTGGTAATTAGTTGGCAAAGGCATTAAAAACAATATAACAAAGTGGATTAAGACACTTGCCCTTGGTAAACTTTATTGGGGTTGATGCAACAGAGACTTATTATAATAAGTCTCTGTGTTATGAGACCTGGCTGGCTATGGCTTCCACCATACTGTATAAGAGAATTTCAGAATCTACTTCCATAGTTATATTATTATGTCCTATATAAATTATGTTTTGTTCATATAAATCCCAGGATCAAAATGCCCTCCACTACAAGCAGGAGTTTACCGCTGTTACAGCATGAGGTTCTGTCCTTATGCCCAGCGTCTTCTTCTCGTTCTTGCTGTCAAAAATATCAAGTACGTACGTTTATTAGTATAAACAAACTCATTTTTGTATCTGTCTATGGTGTGCCTTTCACATTACTATATACTGAAATTAGGGTAATATATGGTGACTATAACCCAAAGAGTTTTTGCTCCCAACCATTTCTAACCCTTCAGAAATCAAGATAATTTTAACCCACTTCTCATCATATTTATAGACAAGGGCTACTCCTCTCTTACATCTTTCCTCCTCTTTAGTTTCTCTATACAGTATTTTCAGTTTTCCTAACTTTGTTTATACTCTATACTGTACTGTACTTAGTCAATGGGCAATAAAATTCAGTCCTCCACACTGCATGTTTTTAAAGCCATTTAGTCCTATTATTTTTCCTCACCTTGTTATATTGATGTTCAAATCTTTGAACACCTTTATCTCTCATCTTTACCCCTCTTGTCAGTACAGTAGAACTTCCTCTATGAGTAAATGTGTGTGTCAACTTTGAATATGTTGCTCATAACTTGTAAGACCTTTATATATCTCATAACCATAGATTGGTTGTTTCATTTCCATAATTGTTCATAGGACACTACTGTAGCCGTCAGTTTTATTGATCTCTGCATTTAATGTTGAGGTGAATATTTTTCTCTGCTGCATAGAAGCAAAAAAGGTGAATTGAATACAGTATTTGCTTTACAATTATGCATGGTGTAAACCTCCTCATAATGTTAAGGTGTTTTACAGACATGATGTTGTCAATGTCAACCTCAAGAAAAAACCAGAGTTTCTGCTTGAAAAGAACCCCCAAGGGAAGGTACCAACGCTGGAGAAAGATGGAGAAATTGTGTACGAGTCCATGGTGACTTGTGAATATTTAAATGAGGTGCATCCTGACCCTCCTCTCTACCCTTCTGATCCCCTGAAGAAAGCACAGGACCGAATGCTCATAGAATTGTGGTCCAAGGTTAGCACAATGTTGTCGTCATGTTGTCTTGGAAACTCAGTTTATCATTTTTCTTCTGTTTGCCAGAGTATATTACATTCCTATGCAGTACTTTCATTTGAATTTAAAAGTAGGATTTTCATTTACAGTAAGTGAAAATATGTTTTGATATACTGTACTGTACAGATACTGTATGCTTGTTCTGTGAGGGTCTTTTATAGTACCCTGTGATCCATCTCGCACACAAGTGGGAGAAAAGAAATGATGGTAGATATTACAGACATTGTAATACAGTACAGTAATTATATTGCAGTTGGTACAGTATTTATCTTGAGCAAGAAGTGATGAGTGCATCTCCTGTGTGAGTCTTGCTTTATGGCATTCATGAAAAAACTAGAAAATATACATCATGATTTGATGATGAACCTGTGAACAATCTACCAGTATGAAATTTGGTTGACCATATTACACAATGATACATTGTACATGCTCACATGTTTACATACAAACACATGTATCTCAACAAAAATGGCAATGTACATTAATAAAAATAATCTTACATGTACTTATAACTTACAGTGTACAGTACAGTACTTAATTTTTTGACATATAGCAAAGGTTCCCATGCAAATCATCATGGCAGGATCTTGCATGTTGAGTAGAGCATGCAGTTTAAGTGTTTTCACTATTACTGTGTATTGTTAAATAAGTCATCTTATAAATGAAGAGACCATGACACAGGGTGATCAAGAATTGATTGTCATGTGTTAGTATGAAAAGGCCTCCATAGAGTTAACTACAGCTAATACTAAACAAACTAACTTATGAGGAAAATAATGGGGCTTATCACAACAGGTGATAATGAAAAATTGTGTGGAGTTTGAGAATGAGATTGATAAAGTGGGGTGATACAGGGAAGATGATACCCATGAGAAAACAAGGTAGCCAGAAATTTGTCATAAACTGCATTACAGTACTGTATAGAGGAGTATACGACATGATTATAAGACAAGGAAAACTCACAAGAAAAGGTAAATGAGCCTCAGTGAAGGAATTTGGGAGAATGATTTAGGAAAACGCGAAGAACTGGGAGCTGAAAAACAGATACATACTGGTAAAGCATTTTTGTAGAGAAGAGTTGAAATATTGTCATAAGACAATAAAATTGACTATTTACACCCCAGCTTCACTGAATGAGGAGAATCACTGAATAACATTGGGAGCTTATGTGAATCCCAAAACAATATCAGATTTGTATACCTTTTATTCAGTAAGTATTCCTGAAATTTTGTGAAGCTAAGTTGAGTATAAGTAACTATTTGAGGGCTTTAAAGTAGACCCAACAACTTAGGTCATCCAGGGAACTGTAATCCTCAGACATCTGTTTAGCTGTGACAAATTTTCTCAGTGATTAATGTTATGATATCAGAACATCATCATCATCCTGGTGGTTAAGGTTAGGTATGGTATCCTTTAGGTCATTGTTGTTGATGTTATACTATATTGTAATATGTAATGGTGCTTCAACAGTTAAAATCTTTAAATGCATATACTCTACTGTACTAGATTCGAAATTACTGTAGTCACCAGCAAGTCAAAATTAAGAGTTTTATTAATTAACATTTGATATTGGGACATTGTCCTTTGGCACATTAGATGGTTAATATTACAATATCAGACATAATATAACAGTGATATAGTTGAAAAGGTAATTTGTTTATGTTTTGATATTACTGCACGATATTTATAACTGGCAAGTTTTTTCATATGGTCTTCCCTCTATTACTACAGTAGTTGAAATTAATTGGTTACAGTAGCTTCACATTTTGTCACTTCTATAATTTCTTCAATGTCTGACTTGATTCACTCTATTATTCCAAATATCCCTCATGTATAGTGTCATTATTCCAAATGTCCCTTATGTATAGTGTTATTATTCCAAACATTCTTCATGTATCTTACCCCATTTAATATTATTATTTGACATGCTCCCCCAGGTAAGCTCAGCCACATATAAAACGTATTTTGCCAATGGAGACCAACAGGTGTTGAAGCAGGCCTCTGAGGATATAAAGGCTGGAGTTGACTTGTTTGAAGCAGAACTGTCAAAAAGAAACACTAAATTCTATGCTGGAGACAAACCTGGTGAGTTAGAGAGAATATATTAGTTACTTATTAACCCAGAGCTCCTAAATAAAATATACCACAAAGGTTTTGAAGCTACAGGTACATACTGTATATAAGCTTGAATGTGCCCACTCATTTACACTGAGAATCAAAATAAAAAGCACTGACGGTTAAAGAAAATTTTGCTGTTGTGTAACTACAGTAGTAGTGAAGGTCATCTGGGGGAAGGGGAACCTGAAGTGACTTCAACCTGTCCACTGACCCATTGTATTACAAATATAGAGCCTTAATTGAAAGACTTATACCGTATATTGACTCTATTCTTTTAAGCAATGCTTTGTGCGTCTTAGTTTTTTTAACTGCTTTCCCCTCAAAACAAAAATCCCTGGTCTACTACTGATCATTAGTATTTACTTTCATATGATTTATTCAAATGACCATCTCTTACAAATCAGTAAATTGTAAATATTGTTTGGTGTATACACTGCATCACTTTTTGTTTGTTTTAACCCCTTCACTACAGAGACCCCACTTCTGATATTTTACTTGGCTAATGCCATACGTTTGTACACAAGGAGTTAATGAATTTTCTTTCTCTGACATATCAATTAATATTAATAATTATTTAGGGGGGTTTAAGTGAGTTTCAGGATATATATTGGGACTAAAACCTGACTCCACTTTTGTCTTAAGCTGAGTTGATCTACAGTTAAGGATATTTATAATCTGCAAGCTGTAGGAACATAGGAACCTAACCCCTCTGAAGTGACCTGTCTAAGACATATCATTGTGTATGGTATTTATACATTATTATGCAAATGAAAAATAAATGGACAAGGGATTTTCTTCTTATTTCTATATATTATGTGATATGAGTTTGGGGTGTTGACACAGTTCATTTACTAGAAAAAATTCCCCATCTCTTTAAACCTTATATTTAACAATAGACAATGTTGGCCAGGTATGTTGGACTACATGATCTGGCCATGGGCTGAGAGGTTGCCAGTGGCCCAGGAGTTGATCGGAGATGCTGATCTTCTTTCCCAAGACCGCTTCCCAAAAATGGTGAGATTGAGAACTGATTTAACTTTCTGTGCCATATTTCTTTATTGAACATAACTAGGATGGTGAATTTTATATTTGTGTATGTGTTTTTGTTGTATGTGAGCATTTATATGTGTGAATGGACAGGGATGTGTGTGTTAAATGTGTATGTGTGTAATATAATACTATACTTAATTAGTCATTTAGGGTCATTAGTTTCATATAATAACAACAGGATATTAGGTCATATTGACTTAATATTTTGATAGATGTATGTTCTTTGTGCAGCTCTCCTGGATGAGCATCATGAAGGAGGACCCAGCAGTGAAAACAACATACATATCACCAGAAGGTCACCTGAAGTACTTGAAAACTCGTGATGGTGGCTGCCCGGACTATGACATTGAGCTGTAAACTTCCCTTAGCAAGTCACTTGAACCCCAGACATTGACATGGAGGTGTAAACCTCTCTTGTCATGTCACTTGGATTCCAGACAATGACAAGGAGGTGTAATCCTCCCCTCATTGTCATTTCCATTTTTTCTTTAATTTGATATAATTAATTCTGGAACAGGTGCTTTCTATACTGTATAGTATTCACAGACGACCTTGGATGAATACTTAATGCTTTTGTCAGTGTTGGTTAGTGGGTTACTATATTTGAATATGTATGCAGTTTCTATTCAGGTTGGTTCAGAGCTGAATACTGTATATTATTGCAGTATACAGTACTCTGATGAGCTGCTTTTCTGCTGGGGGGTTCACCTTGCATAATAGATAAGAATAAAGTTTGAATATATGTAGTGTAAAACATTATAGGTGTTGGTGGTAGAAGTCTTAAAAATATATTCTATGTAATTATATATCCCTTACTGTATTATTTTCCTTCAACCTTCTTTCTGACTATGTGTTGTAGAACTTATACAATAAATTACTAAACAAACGATATATTCTGTACTGGTAAATAAAGGAGAGGCAAAGAATTTATTACCTTTTGAATCCTCGACTTATATTTGACATAAGAAGGAAAATCTCAAGACAATACAACATCATTATGAAGATCAGTTGCAGTGTAAGGTGACATGAGGGAGGTTAGGTGTGGGAACATGGCCCTGTGGTATAAGTAAAGTTCTTTGCCAGCCAAGCATTGCCATTGAATTCCCCCACACACACACACACACACACACACACCCTCAACACACTCCCCACATGCATACACCCTTCACACACATACAAACACATACACATTCCTCCCCCTCACACATACCTCCCCCACACACTCGCAAAACACACACACACATCTCAAGTAGACGCCTAATGGAAAAAGAATTACCAAGAAGATTGTTCCACCGTCAATTCATCGGGTCAGAGAATTTTCCCCTTAGATATATAAATGAGTTGATGAGATACAATTAAAATGAAATATAATTAAGTTATTTCCTTTTAACTGGAATTCGTTGGGGATTTCTGAAGAAGATGAAGATAATTGTTAATCTTCCTTTGTAATTAAACTGTACTGGAGTTACAGCAGGAGGGTTAATTTAATTCCTCTTGGATCTTGAATGGCTACATTACACTTTCTCGCTTTCTCTCTCTCTCTCTCTAAATATATATATATATATATACTGTATATACGATGAATCCTTCTGTGATCATTTAGATTCTTGACATGACTATTATTGCAACCATCACTTACACTGACATGAAAATTATAAGAATACACTATATTACATAGTGAAATATAATTCCAGGAAAAATATTTAAATTAAAATCAAATATACAAGAAATATAAAATCTATTATAAAACAGAAGATTTTTGAAAGGTAAACATTAATTTTTTTTAGATAAATACAATAATGCAAAATAATTATGCAAGTACCCTGTATACAGGTAAGTAGCAAAATTGCCCAAGATGAGATGGGGATGAATTCATGTTTTAAGTACGGTGTTCTTTTGGAAAAGGGGGCATTTATGAGCAAATGGATTAGGGATATGTTTGATTCCATATCTTATAGAAGCAGCAAAGTTCTGTTTAACCCCTTGGTTTGGAGATGGAATTTCCCCAGCTGAATAAAATCATCTGGCGGTAGCCAGAATAATATAGTATATAAGAAGATCGTAGTGAAGGGATTAATTAGCTATCAAAACAATCAGGAAGTGGACACCACATACTGTACAGTATTTAGTGTAATACAAAATTGATGTGAACAAAATAGATGAGTTGGCAGCTGTCTGGTATAGAAACAGCAAACCACATAGAGTAGTTCAGTTGTACCAAACAGTGAGGTGGAATGGGCAAGAAAATTTGACATTACTGTACAGTATATTGTATTATTACAGTATTATTAATATTTATCAAATGTGCAATTTGTGATGTATTCTGATTGTCTTGTAATTACCAATCTTATGGGATAGCACTGAGTCTGTTAATGTAAAATAAAAACTTGTAAGTTGATTGTGTTAATAATGTACTTGTGACATCATGGTGGTCAGGGGTTCCCGAGGATTATTGAGTAGGGTCGAGAGAAGAGCACTTCAAAACAGACCACCATTGGAGGCGGACTCAGTTGCTTGGCCTATGTTTACAATATCAGCAAAGCAAGGAAATCCTGTCAAGAACTAAGTGAACTCTTGGAACAGTCTGCCAGAGTGTGTTGTGGCTGTGCTGAGTGTGGGATCTTTCAAGACCAGACTTGACCAATACTGGGTCAGGTACAGATATATTCTGGACTCTGAGGACAGTACTGTACATATATACTTGCCAACAGTGCATAACAGAGAAGTGGTCGACAGCCTAAGCAGCTAACAAGCTGATCAGTACCGAAGAGGATAAAGTAAAAGAAGAATCTAGAGAACTCTATTAAGATAAAGGTTTAGATTCATTTGAGTTGGGGAGAGGCAAAGTTAAATTTAATTTTATTTTGATATTTCTAAATCATGTTGGTAAATCATCACATTACTCTTAACCTCAGAAAGTTTAAAAATCAATGTACAAGACTCCAAAGTTCCACATTTGTGCCATAACTCAAGTTTGCTAGTCAGGTGCATTCTCACATTTCAAGTTAAGGGTGAAAATGAAAGTAAGAACTAATGAGAATCCAGATCCAGATATGAAAGCCTGTCAAGCTGATGAAACATAAACAATGAGACAGACGGAAAGTACAGTACTGTACTTGATAACTCTACCCAATGTTAACTAAATACTCGTTATTTGTCCCCTAAATTTTGAAATTATTTGTCTTTGTTCTGCTCCCTTGGGTCGTCAGACCTTTGTATTAATATTGGTTTATTTATATAATGCTGCTTATTATTATTATTTTTATTATTGTTGGAGTTAGTGAGCCCGCCCAGGTCCTTGTGTAACTGGGAGAGTAGTCACTTTTTTTTTTTTTTTTCTTTTTCAGGTGTTAGTTAAGTGTTAGTTGGTTGCTAGGGAAGGCGGCACATTGGAATGCGATACGCAGTTTGTAGGGGAGACGTCCACTACAAGAGCTTGGAGAATGATTGTCTATAGTTGTCAGTAATGGTGCCTCCCCCCCGAGACACTTACATAATTGTCAATATAAAATATTTTTGAGGGGTTGCTGAGTAATGCGGCTGGACGCAGTGTTGTTATTATTACAGGTATTATTATTATTATTATTACTACTGTTCTCGCATTTTCATTTTCTGTGTTAGGACAAACATGTACTGTTTATACTGTATAGTAAACACAGCCTGTTTACTTACTTAACTATATAGTATAAGTTAAGGATAATGTTTCCTTTTATAGTAGAAGTAATATATACACATAAACCATATTATCTGCATCTTATTAATTATGTGTAGTAAAGGTTGTTATTTTATTTTCAATGTTAAAATTCCGCTATGTATACAGTAGACTACAAAGAACAAAACCTATTATTTTAGGATAAAGTTAATGAGATAACTCCATATGAGAGAACAAAGTGTAGTGTAACCAGGATTTATGAATGTAGTCACTAATATAAAGACCTTAACCTCGATCCTCGACCAGTGCCGGATTTAGACCTGTGGAGGCCCATGGGCAGCCTCTTTGTGGAGGCCCCCCCTCATTATAACTACCCAAGAGGGTGGGGTGGCGAGTGAAGACAAATAGTTTGTATGACCAGTGCCATGATTAGCATGATTCTGGATGTTGTAGTGGACTTCTCCCCTACAACTGCTTACAACTGCGTAGCAGCTCACCACCTGCTATCGCATTCCAATGTGCCGCCTTCCCTAGCAACCAACCAGATGTTACCGTATCTTAGCAACGAAACTATTCACCGGCTACTTCTCGGGTTTTCCCACCATGACTCATGGCGGCTGCTGCGGGGTATATAAGCTCTGTCTCTCCCTTGAGATTCAGTCTGACCAATCTCTTGAACAAGCAACACCTCCTCCTCTGCCGCTGCCTGGCGACCCTCGCCTCTCCGCCTGCCTGGCGGTCCTCGCTCCCGCCAGCAGCGAGCATGTCCTTCTCTGAGCTTCCTCACCAACCAACTCTCATTCTGCCCATTTTCCTGAACAAGCAACATCTCCTCCAGCAAGCTCCACGCTGTTAACATTTCATTCAACCAGGAGGCCAGCAACAGGCAACATCTTCTCTAACGAAGCTCCTGCACATCTACCTCCTTCAACAAGCTACTCACCGCACGTCTCTACCAAGCAGCCCCTCACCACACAGCACCTCCAGCACCAGACTGTCTATCATATAACTTATATATTATACAAGAAAACCACATTAGAGTTTCCTTCCATCCTGAGTGCTAGACAACTTTAATATCTCGATACCCCTACAATGTGTTGCCTGAGGAAATCATCATACTCGGCCAAAAGCTCTAGTAATCCCAAGTAATTTCCATTGAGGAGATCCAATTATTTCATCATCTCCACGAAGAGCTAGCCCTCTTTCACATATAAATTAAAACACGCTGATCAATCACTTTAGAAGACTACACCAATACTGCTCAATTTGACCCACATGCGTAGTTAGTTTAGAATCACGCTTCTTGCTGAACATAGTTTTACGTGATGGAATAGATAAACATGATTTTTAAAGAATGAAAATAAAAATAATCCAAATGAATAACCAAATAAATAAAATATTGTAATATGTGGAGGCCCCTGGGCAGCTGCCCACTTTGCCCACTCTTGAATCCGGCCCTGTCCTCGACTGATTTTCCCGACACACACACACACACACACACACACACACAAAGAGAGATTACAGCCAAGAACAGAATAAAACTGCCCTTAACGAAAACTGAAAAGAATGAATTTAGAGTATATAACAAATAGTCCATTATTTTTTATTGCTGAACATGCTGGCTGGATTCTGGATGGATCCACGAACGAATTGTTGACCTGAAATCGCGAGCGACTTCCTCTCTGTTTTCAAATGTTTGAAAGTCTCTTTTTTTTATTAATCCGTATATTTTAAAATGTGGTTAAGCGTTGTTTTAGATTTTTTAACCTTTATAAAGATTCAGCATTGTGTTATTCGTAAGTGCTCTCTCTCTCTCTCTCGACTTGGGATCAAAACTTGATAAGAGTTTCAGAATACAGTACAGTATATTTTATTTTATAACACTTCAGTCATATAAGATATGAAAATTTTTATCTTTAGGTTGACTATGATGATAATAGTGAGAATGATGGTGACGAAGATAATATTGATGTGTATGTGTGTGTGTGTGTGTGTGTGTAATAATAGTAAATTCAATATTACTACAGTAATACATACCAATGGCAGCTAAGAAATTTACACGCACTAGAAACTGGAGGATGGACATAAACGACAATCACCCAAAAAGTTCAAAATCCCGTAGAAGGAAGAAGGGATTTTCGCCTGTATGAGCATCGATGTTATATCCTTGTCTTGCCCCTTCATGTGGTCATTAACTCAAGGTCACGTCAAGACAGAGATAATGTTGGTGTAATGGAGAATATCTGGAGACACCCACACTTTTGTGCCGTGTTG